TAGTATTATTGGGCTCAGTCTTCTACCAAAATATTTATAGCCTGAAGTCTGTATAATGTACTAATACAACAATAATATGGTGAAAATTTGGCTTGGCACAAAAAAAATGTAATTTTTATCGTTATGATTTTTATGTAAAACTTACACGATTTCTATTATTTGTTCACACTGAAAGTAACTGACTTCGGTGAATACTCTTTCAACAATCAATCGCGCTCTTGCCTCGCTTACAGAAGTAGCCTTTTGGCGCGCTATGTGCTGCTATGCGTATGCTTGCTCGCTTAGGCGCGCCCTTTCTTAGTAGAATAGAGGGATGCTAGCTCTTAGCTAACCTCAAACTTTGGAACAACTTGAGTTCATGTTAGATTATTCATAACAAAACCAACCAGCATTAGGTAAAATGATCAAATAGACTTTTCGGCCAACTGTTGACTAAAAAGCAATTAAGCCATTGAGCTTTTAAAAAGTGTAATTATGTGTTAATTAGGAACTATTGTATTTAGATTTTGATGATGTTAATATTGTATTAAGGACTTTAGATATCCTAAATTTTTTAGCTTGTGTATTCAGCTAGTTATCTAATGTATAGGCCAAAAACTTATGAACTCTTTGTATTTCAGTTTGAATTTGTTAAAGTTGATCAGTTTAGTGTACTAGCTGGATGTTGGCAAAGCATCAGCTACCGTAAAATAGCTTTACTGAAGATAACGGACAAACTGATTCAATCAGCAGACACTCACCAACTGAGTCCTCAAACTGTTTTTTAGAAAGCCAAGTTACTTCATCAGCAGGAGATCCAAAGCAAACAAGTTGATTCCTCTATGTTGTTTAGTACAGAATCATCAAGTTCTTATATCAAAGACACTTGGATTCTCCTAGCTGTTAGATGAAGAAAGGGCACGGTTGCACCATGTTCTTTTTTAAATTACACATATTCTGAGAAAAAGGATAATGGAATGTTTTAGAAGAAGACAAATAGTACAATACATCGTCATGGAGTTTGTGACAAATTCGAACACCTATCACATTGGGGGCAACAAAATTATTTCAATTTGTGAAGATTACAATATTATCCTCGGCTCTATTCTCCTATAAATAGAGTGTTCTAAGCTCGAAAAAGTTGTTAGCCTTGACAGAACTAACTAGCTTACAAGAAAATTTTCTAAGGAGTTGTGCATTCATATCTCTGAAGCTATTAATGTTTACATTAAGAGCAACTTTGAGCTTCATCGTGAATCATCCAAATTTATAGTCCATCTTTGTCTGTCAGACAAACAAATCACACCATTTTTTGGTTTGTGGTTGTAGATCTTCTGCTAAAGGGGACTTTGTGACTCACCCTTGGAAGTGAGATCAAGTATTGAAGATCAGAGGGCATGCATATCCTAGTCGAATTGAAGGAACACTATCGAAGATCAGCAGCGCTTTGTGGATACGATACGTGATTTGTTTCACTTGTATTTGGAACAATACTATTGAAAACCTCTTTATGGTTTCAAGGAGAAGAGTGAAGTAAGCTGTTGTTGAATCACTATAAAAATTTCTCTCTCAATCTAAATTTACATTTACGCTATTTACTTACGAGTTTGGTTGAATCAAAACACACACATTACACGTATTAAGCTGTTTTAACCATCAAATTGTGCTAACTTGAAAAGACTTTCGCTACCTACCATTTGCTATAAGTTGGTGATACGTTCTATTTGCAAAAAAATGTTAAAAGAAAAAAGTTTTTAAAGTTTATTCAACCCCCTTCCAGACTTTTTACCTCACTAGGACCAACATAAATATCTCAACTAGTCATTTTGATGCATCAAGATCTATTTTTTGGGGTAATTTTACCTACTATAATAGTTAAATTATTTTAAAATAGGAAAAATTTCATCTTTGGTCCCTGAGTTATACCCAAGTTCCGACCCAGTCCCTGAGTTATACGTTATGACCGTATTCATTTTTAATCCCTCAGTTATGAACGAAGTGGCGTATTTGGTCCCCGACCGTTAAAACTAACGAAAAAATTAAAAAATATTTAAAATTTGAGGGGTAAAGTAGGAAATTCACATTTTATTCTCCTTCTTATATCAAAACCACTTTCACAACATTATTTTTCACTTCTTAGCCTCTTATTTCAAGATTGTTCAATTCTAAAAGCATTTCAATAACTTTAGTATGACTTGTTAAGAACTTAACTCTCGTATAACAAACTTAAGACTTAGCCCAAACAAAGAAACACTTGATCATTGTCTTCAGACGTGTGAAACACATTATCCTATCAATTTTCAATGTTCTTTACTAAGCAACAAAGGTAATCAAACCAGAACTTTTGAGATACAAAATGATATCAAATTTCTCAGGTTGCTATTATGAGAAATTCACCAATTGAATAACTTGAGATTTTTAGTATGTAAAATTTTTTCATATGCAGTAGTTTAGTCAATAATCGTTTGTAGAAGTTACAAATTTTTTTTAGAATTTTCATAACTGAGTCTTAGGTTCCTCATTCATTACTCTGATTTTTAAGAAGACAGATGAGGTGATGGATATATATATATATATATATATATATATATATATATATATATATATATATATATATATATATATATATATTTAATATGATTTTCATATATTGTCAGGGTATACGATTCTTGATTAAGTTAGTGCAGAGCTTATTAAAGAATTTTACGTACTAAAAATCTCAAGTTACTCCCTTGGTGAATTTTTCATAAAAATAACCTGAGAAATTTGATATCTTCTTGTATTTCAAAAGTTATGGTTTGATTACCATTATGTTTAGTAAGGGAAATCAAAAACTTTTTGGATGATGTATTTTACATGCTTGAAGACAATGATCAAGTGTTCTCTTATTTGTATTGAGTCACGGGTTCCTTATACGAGACTCAGGTTACTAACAAGTCATACAAAGATTATTGAATTGCTTTTGAAATTGAAGAACCTTGAAATTGAATGCTAGAAAGTTGAAAAATGTTGCAAAAGTAGTTTCAATATAAGAAAGTGAATTTCCTACTTTACCCCTAAAATTTTAAATATTTTTTTAATTTTTCCGACAGTTTTAACCTGTCGGGGACCAAAGGTGCCACTTCGCTATAACTGAAAGACTAAAAATGGATACGGTTATAACTCAGGGACTGAGTCATCACTACCATTATAACTCAGGGACGAAACTCGCCATTTTTCCTTTAAAATATAAATTTCTTATTTAATTTCATAAGGGGTCGTCAGACCTTTGTTGATCGCTGACAATCACCTTCTTAAATGAAGAAGGTGACAAACTTCTTCAATTGTGAATTGGTGACCATTGACTTCCTCAAATCTAATGAATATGACGCAACAATCGTAGAAGGTGTGTGGTTCAACAGTAGTCAGCAACAGTCGACAAGAGGTCCAGTGATCATCAACAAAGTCGTTAAAAATTGTACAGTGACTAGGTAATCAAAATCATGCCACATCGTCATAATTTTACCAGTAATCTATTGATTAATGGTAAATATGAATAATTTTTTAAAACACCCTTATATTCCTATTAACTAACTTAACGTTTATTTTTGACACATAGATATAGAAAATATTATTTTATTAAATAAAATCATAAATTGTGGGTTGGATAAACAATCTCTTTTTTTTTTTTTCTTTTTTCTTTTTGGTGTGTGAAATATGAAGGGACTAATAGTCTAGTCAAGCTAAGCTAGAATGACACTAAACTAGACTATGTGAAGTTCCTCGTGCCAAAGGAGTCTTTGAATAACCTCATGTGAGTCTTCCGAGTTCCAACTATTTATGACCCCGCTCATGCCTTAAATCTTTAATATGATATAATCATGTGACATGATACAATCTATTGAATTAATTTATATTATGATTATTTATGAAAGAGTCGACGTCTAAAAAATTAATTAAAAGTAATGAAACTTTTTTGTACACAGAATATATAGATAGTAATGGAAATTAAGAACTTATTGAATTACTTACGGTTTACTTCCTCCAATGCTCTTGGACAGGAATTCGGGTTTTCATGGACTTAAGATTAATCTAGCATAACCCATGTGATAGAGAATTGGACAAACTACTAGACCCAACTCGGATCCAAGAGTAAAATAATAAAGACGGTCAAACGTAACGTTGCCTAACCACTTAATGCTGACTCATTACATAGAGTCACGTCTTATTAAATAACACAATTATGAAGAGCAAAAGCGCTGCAATATAATCATTGAGGGACAATGTACTAGTGTAATTGTTATGTTTTATAACGATTATATATAGTATAAAAGTCAGACCCCTGTGATAGGCAAGGCACATGCTCTGAATCTTATACAGAGACTTTTAATAATACAACTACAATTCTTTGTTTAACACTTATACATAATTATTACTTATGGTACATTATTACTGTCACTAAAAAACCTAATGTATCAAAAAAAAAAAAAATTGACTAGTATAAAAAATATTGACAATAATAAAATTCATGATAAACATACAAGAAACATTAATTACTCATCGGTCACTTCTTTCAGGACAATTTCAAGTTTTCAACAATCTTTGCCTCTATGGATGCACCAAAAGATCTCATAAAAAATTACAGTGAAATAAAAAGCTCTCCATCACATCTCCATAGCAGAGAGAATGATTCCGGAGATGACTTTATTCTTTTCTTCACCTTTTCCCTTTACTCCATACAAGGAGAAGTAATTCAGGGGTGGGGGGTGGGGGGGGGGGGTGTAATTAGTACCAACTCCCATCATCATCATAAAACAAGCGATTTATTCTCCAAAAAAAAAAAAAAAAAAAAAAATCATAAAACAAGCGGCATTATATTTTTTTGTTTGCATTTCAATTTCCATTCTGGGCTGTGCAGTGTTCAGAATAAGTTTCACGTGAACGTGCCTCCGCTGCCCTCTCTTTCTTGTCTCCTTCTCTTTTCACACTCATTAAGTTCTTCAGCTCAGTTCTCACCTTACGATCACAATCAGTATTTAAAGGGAAAAAAATAAAAATAAATTCGTAGTTAGTCTTGTGTCCACTTTCTTTGTATCCGTGTAAGCGCACACTCTAAGAAGGAGCTTTCTTCACGGTGGCAACCAAAGTTTACTAATTTTCAATTCAAAGTCTGCATTTTTTTGTCAACCCTGTCCTTGATTTGTTTAATATAAAAACAATTACCCACCAAACCACCATTTAGCAGAGTGGGTTAGCCAAAGCCTTAGGCTTTCTTGGAGAGTATATAGAAGTGTTTGGTGGGGGGTGACAGAAGAGTCCAAATCTTCGTTTATTGTCCTTACATTTCTGTTTCTTTTGGTTTTTCATTTGGGAAGCCCAATTCTTTTATCTTGCTTCTTGAACAGTATATCCCTAGCTCAATGGCTTGTTTATTTCTGAAGCTTTAGCCTTCTGGGAATCTGGATTTATTGATGTAATTAAAGATTGATGGTTGTATTACTGCTTTCTTTGTACTCTCTTTTGCTTACAGAATTTGTTGTCATAGGAGAATCTGATTCTTCTTTCTGATAATGGCATACCACCTCCCACTCTTTTTTCCCCTTGGTTGTCTGAGGCATGTGTGTCCCAGGAGTTTCCTTGCTCCTCCTCTGATTTCTTGCTTTTGAAATATTCTTTCTGTATTTTACAAGGTGATATGATATATTGATATCAAAGTATTTATAGTTGGATGCCCATGAGTTAAAATAATGACTTTTGCTTTAAACTTCCTCATTATGAATCAATTCTTGGAGAAAGAAGGGATTTTGATTGGCTGAAAACTGGGTATGCAAAATCTGGTGAACAAATTAGCAGCTAGAATGAAAGCAATTTGGATTGTTCTATCATGGCTTTTCCTTTTGGGAGTGTGCTCAAAGGGGTTGAGCAAGAATGTTAGTTCTAGACCTGCTGTTGTAAATGTTGGAGCCATTTTTGTATTGGATTCGAGTATTGGCCGAGCTGCCAAGGTTGCGATCGAGGAGGCTGTTAAAGATGTGAACTCCAATTCCAGTATCCTCCATGGAACCAAACTAGTGATGATGCATCAAAACTCCAATTGCAGTGGGTTTCTTGGCATGGTTTCAGGTAGTTTCTTGCAATTGCAATAGGGTTTCTTGATACTATGCTGCTGAATAGATTAGGATAACGAGAAACGAAAAAAAAAAAATTAAATTGGCACTTCTCTTTTAGGATATTAAATTGGCACTTCTCTTTTAGGATATTAGTATTGTTTGAATCGCGATGCTTATGCCAGTATTTGAGCTAATTGTTAACATTTTGTGTACGATTCTGTATATGCACTTTCCTTATGATATGCCCCTTTCGAAGCTTCTACCATATAGACTAAATTTAGATTCGTTGACAAGATTTTATTGGTTGCAGCCTTGAAATTTATGCAGACAGATGTTGTTGCTATCTTAGGTCCACAGTCTTCGGTTGTTGCCCATACTATATCACATGTTGCAAATGAACTCCAAGTTCCTCTCTTGTCATTTGCTGCTACGGACCCCACACTCGCTTCTCTTCAGTTCCCTTACTTTCTTAGGACGACACAAAGTGACATGTACCAGATGATGGCAATTGCTGACGTCATTGATCATTACGGTTGGAAGGAGGTTATTGCGGTTTTCATTGATGATGATTACGGGAGAAATGGTATTGCTGCTTTAGATGATGCACTTGCTGCAAAGCGATGCAAAATCTCCTACAAAGCGGGTATCCCCCCGGGTGCTACTACTCGGGCTGAAATAATGGATATTCTTGTCCAGATTGCGTTAATGGAGTCTAGAGTCATGGTTCTTCATGCCTATCCCGCTGCAGGGTTCATGGTTTTCTCGGTGGCACACTATCTTGGAATGATGGGTGATGGTTATGTTTGGATTTCTACGGATTGGCTTTCGACGGTCTTAGATTCTTCTTCTCCCCTCCCTTCTGAGAAGATGGAAATCATGCAAGGAGTTCTTGTTTTGCGTCAACATACTCCGGATTCTGAGTTAAAGAGAGCGTTTACGTCTCGGTGGAAACATTTGACGGGTGGTAGTTTAGGGCTAAATTCGTATGCCCTTTATGCCTATGATAGTGTTTGGTTGATTGCACATGCGATTGATTCGTTCTTAAACAAAGGCGGGGTTATCTCGTTTTCTAATGACTCGAAATTACAATCAATTGAAGGGAGTACTCTTCATCTCGAAGCATTGAGCATCTTTGACGGGGGGCCACTTCTGCTAAACAACTTATTGCAGAGTGATTTTGTTGGTTTAACGGGACAGTTCAAGTTCAACAATGACAAAAGTCTCGTTCTTCCTTCATATGATATACTAAATGTAATAGGAACGGGCTTTCGAACTATTGGTTTCTGGTGCAATTACTCCGGGTTGTCAACTGCTCCTCCCGAGACTCTTTACTCGAGACCGCCCAATAGTTCAAGTGCAAATCAAAAACTATATGGTGTAGTTTGGCCTGGGCAGTCGGTAAAAAAGCCCCGGGGGTGGGTTTTCCCGAACAACGGTAAGCAACTGAGAATTGGGGTGCCCATTAGAGTTAGTTATAAAGAATTTATCTCGCAAGTCCCCGGGACCAACACTTTCAAAGGCTTTTCAGTCGATGTGTTCACCGCTGCTGTAAACTTGTTGCCATATGCTGTTCCGTTTCAGTTCGTTCCCTTTGGAAATGGCCGTGAAAATCCGAGCTACAGTGAGTTGGTCCGATTAGTGTCAACTGGGGTAAGTTTCTTTGAAGGTTAGCGGGACATGGCCCAGTTGAGTGACCCTAGCCCAATCTTTGTTTATAACAGTAGTCTAAACCGACTTTTTGTCTGATTTTGTAGTATTTTGACGGTGCTATTGGTGACATTGCCATTGTCACGAACCGGACAAAAGTTGTGGACTTCACACAGCCATATGTTGCGTCTGGACTTCTCGTTGTTGCCCCATTTAAGAAGTTGAACACGGGTGCTTGGGCCTTTTTAACGCCGTTTTCTGCACAAATGTGGGGAGTAACTGCTTTTTTCTTCGTTGTTGTTGGAATTGTTGTATGGATCCTGGAGCACCGGATGAATGACGAGTTTCGTGGGTCACCTAAACAGCAGCTAATAACCATTCTTTGGTTAGTTCCAAACCTGACTACTTTTACTATGCTTATAAAATTTTGATTAATTCTCATTGAAAAATATATGTTTTCTTGTTTATGTGCAGGTTTAGCCTTTCAACTCTGTTTTTTGCACATAGTAAGTTTAACCATTTCTCCTTAAATTTTGCTCTGTGCTATAAATTAAGATTGGGCTAAGGTCACTCAATTGGACTATAATACACAAAGACTGAATTCAATCAATTAATTAGTCTAACTCATAGTCTTATAAACTCATATGTTCTCTCTTATTTTATCAATGTGTGACTTAACATTCAACTTCTGCGCTTGAAATTATGCAGGAGAGAATACTGTGAGCACCCTTGGTCGAATGGTGTTAATCATATGGCTCTTCGTGGTCTTGATCATTAACTCCAGTTACACCGCAAGTTTGACCTCTATCCTCACAGTGCAACAGCTATATTCTCCGATTAAGGGAGTTGAAAGTTTGAAGGAAGGCAATGATCCCATAGGCTACCAAATTGGTTCTTTTGCTGAGCATTATTTGATCGAGGAAATTGGTATATCTAAATCCAGACTTATTGCGCTGGGATCGCCCGAAGCCTATGCTGAAGCACTCGAGAAGGGGCCACATAAAGGAGGCGTTTCTGCAATCGTGGATGAACGCCCATACGTCGAAAATTTCTTGTCAACCCAATGCAAATTCAGAATTGTTGGCCAAGAATTCACCAAAAGTGGCTGGGGTTTTGTGAGTATCTCTGTGACATTTTCAAATGAAACTCATTGTCTAATCATTTGTTTTTCTAGAAACTGATCATAAAGAGCTTCACTGTTGACATTATATGGTAGGAATATATTTAGCATGATCTTAAGGCACTACTGGAAATTATGGAATTTCCGACCACCTGAAAATGATCTTAAATCAAGTCGAAAGTCTTGTTCCGACCACTTTTGGTATCCGGAAAAATCTTTGTTGCTATTTCCGACCACTTTTTGCTTTCGACTTGATTTAAGATTACTTTCAGGTGGTCGGAAATTTCATAATTTCCAGTAGTGAGGATTCTATGCATATTCTTAGAGATTTATTTCTGATCCTTACCTTAGTTAGTATGTATATTCTTGTATAAATAGGTGTATTCTTTTGGCTGAAAATATATGGAGTTCTCCATTTGACACTTATCAACTGCAAAAATGTTGTTTTCTGTGATTAGGCTTTTCCACGGGACTCCCCCTTGGCGGTGGACATGTCAACTGCAATCTTATCGCTGTCAGAGAACGGGGATCTCCAGAGGATTCACGACAAGTGGTTGACACGAACCAGTTGCAGTTCAGAGAGTACTGAGCTTGAGTCGGATCGTCTTCATCTCAAGAGCTTCTGGGGTCTCTTTCTTTTATGTGGGGCGGCCTGCTTTCTTGCACTCTTTATATACTTTGTCCAAATCATGCTCAAGTTCCGGAGAGTTGCTCGTGCTGAACCCGTTGCAGATGGCTCGAGTAGTACACGGTCTAGACGTCTGCAAACACTGCTATCACTCATTGATGAGAAATCGGACCCATCAAAGAGGGACAAAAAGAGGAGAAAGATTGATAGATCATTATCCGACGAAAACAGTGGAAGCAACTTGGCGAGGGATCCGGGTGGGGGAAGCAGCGAGAGATCTCTCGAGATCAATGGACATTTTGACCAAATACACACATGATCAAAAGCGGTATGCAATCCAGAACGAGATGGTTTTTATGACTTTACAATTCAAACTCAATACATGAAGCTGTATATAGTTCAGAACAGGATGGTTTTATGACTTTATTCCAACACGAACCATCCTCGCCTTCTCACATCAGTGAAAGATAAACTGTCTATTATAATGTTGCATCTTCAGTCTAGTCCCACAAGAGCAAATCATTTTGTAAAACATCTATGGAATTATGATACACAAATTATATTTAACATATATGGTATATATATACTCAATATCTTTGGTTGATCTCGACAGATTTTTGACATCGGTTCTTGCCTTTTGTTTGTGTGTTTGTGTTTGTGCATTTTGGATTTGATACATGTGTTCTTCAATCTGGTATACTGTGCTCTTTGGCTTGATTGTACTTGTGTATGTATAGATATGAACTGTGCATGGATATTTGGATGGAATCATGCATATTTGTATGTATATGTGTGCTAAGCCAGCCTCTGGGGCATAACTCAGTGGTCGAAAGGTTGAGTGTGAGTGTAGTGACCCATGAAATATCCAGGCTCTCTCAGCCTTGGGTCGAAAAGCAAGCACTCAGACCCTGCGTCACTGAGACACATCCCGCGATTTACCTCTAACAATTCCCAGGGCAGGGGGTGAGGGGCCCTCAAGTTTAGGATTTAAACCTATGTTTGCTAAGCACCTATGTGTGCTAAGCAGCCTCCGGGGCATAACTCAGTGGTCGAAAGGTTGAGTGTGGGTGTAGTGACCCAGGAAATATCCAGGCTCTCTCAGCCTTGGGGCGAAAAGCAAGCACTCAGACCCTGCGTCACTGAGGCACATCCCGCGATTTACCTCCTCTGACAATTCCCAAGACAGGGGTTGAGGGTCCTCGGGTTTAGGGTTTAAACCTATGTGTGCTAAGCATGCATATATGAAAGTTGAGATAAGCTTTTGTAGATAGAAGTGCATGGATTTTATGCTGAATGGTAATCTGTCTCTGCAGGAAAAGTAAACTCCACAGAAGACTTAGCAACTGTGTGTACAACATCATTGTCTTTGAATCATATTTTCCCCTTCTCAGTTTTGACAGAAAAAAAATGACCATTTATCAATAATGGAAAACCTCTTCTAAAAACCATTGGTTTTGCACCAAAAAAGGACTGGTTTAATCATAGACTTTGCATTCCTCATCAGCAGGGTTTGTCTTGCAGAAGTCCTCCAAGGGGTCTCCACTTCCCGCTGCACCCACACCCGGCCACTTGTTTGCTACTAGGTGTGCCAAATCAACGACACGTTGGCTACAAATCGAACAAAAAAACATTAAAACACTCAATGTTTTGTTTCAGGAAAACTATGACAGATGACTTGAAATCTGACTTAAATCCCTAAGACTGCCTAATCTATAGAGATTCTATATATTAAATATATTGTCGTACCTGTATCCCCACTCGTTGTCATACCAGGCGACGACTTTGACCATGTCGTCGCCCATCACCATAGTTAAAGAGGCATCGATGGTGGAGGAAACATCGGTGCATCTGAAGTCAACAGAAACCAGAGGGGCATCACAGACATCCAATATGCCTTTCAGAGGGCCGTCGGCTGCCTTTCTGAAGGCTGCATTGACATCTTCAGCCGTGAGTCCTTTCTTCTCCACATTCACGACGAGGTCAACAACTGAGACGTTGGGTGTTGGCACGCGAAGAGCAATGCCATTGAGCTTCCCTTTGAGCTTCGGTAGCACCAGAGACACCGCCTTGGCTGCACCCGTGCTGGTCGGGACTATGTTCAATGCTGCAGCTCTGGCTCTTCTCAAGTCCCGGTGAGAAGCATCTAAAAGCCTCTGTACTCACAACCAAAACCAACCAAAACAAATCCCAATTACCCTTTCGTGTTATAAACTTGGAAAATGCCAAAAAAATGCACATTTCTCATTTTCTTGATAGTATATGTTCTTACCTGATCTCCAGTGTAAGAGTGAGTGGTTGTCATTGTTCCCTTAACAATACCTGCAAACAGAATGTGATGAAATTTCGACAGAATGATACGTTCTCGAAAAGAAAAATAGGGTAACTTACCAAGTTCCTCATCCATGACCTTAACGAAAGGAGCCAAACAGTTAGTAGTGCAAGAAGCATTGCTGCAATGGCGAAAAAACAATCAATCAAAACGTTAATTGCTAAGCGTTCATCGATATGACCATTTTCAGCAGTTTATCGATGGTAACACTCGCCTTATGATGGCAGCGACATCGTGGTCATAATCTTGCTCATTGACACCAACAACATAAGTTGGAATATCAGCGCCTTTAGCCGGTGCAGTGATAATAACCTTCTTGGCTCCCGCTTGGATGTGCTTTCCCGCGCCTGGACCATCAACAAACACACCAGTGCCCTGTATGGAATAACACAATTTACCCGAGATCAAATGCAGTCTCAGACTTCTAGCCTCATTGGTGCAAACTAAAACGCCAAATATTTCGATATGAGAAATCTTGAATCAAACCTCAATGACAATATCAATCCCCATTTCAGCCCAGGGAAGCTTGAGAGGGTCTCTGCTGGACACAACCTTAATAAGCTTCCCATCAACAGAGATCGTCTCGTTGTCAACTACCTTCACGTTGGCTTTGAAAGTTCCCAACATGGAATCATACTTGAGCAAGTGAGCCGCCTGCATTCACACGCAAACTTCCCAGTCAGTGAACAACGAGGAATAAGCAAAGGCCGAGAAAGAATCTGTCGGTTTCTGCTCACGTTTTTGACACCTGCACTGTCATTCACAACAATGACATCGAGTGGTGAATCCTTGCGGCCATGCCAGCAGCGTAGGAAGTTCCTACCAATCCGTCCAAAACCATTGATCGCGACCTTCAACTTGGCAACAGTCTCTCCCCTCACAGGAGCTGACACTGCAGCCTAATTGCAGATGGTATTAAACAACATATTATAGACAAAGGTAGTGTCCAATAAAGCTTATTTAATCAAATTATTGAGATTATAAACTATAAAGTAATCAAATTATTGGATCATAATTGGGCCAAACCGCCAAACCACACTGAAAGACTGAATCCAATCAATTAGTTAGTCTAACTCATGACCTTATAAACTCATATATTTCTCTCTTTTTTTTCGACGTGGACTCTTTAACATAAAGAAAGATTGCACCAGAACTTATGATAGCTACAACAGTTCAAAAGTAACATCTGAAAGAAACTAAAGATGGGTGAGATCATTTACTTTGGGGGTGAGCTGAGAAGCCACAACATCAGAGAAAGAAGCTTCCCTGTTGGAAAATGTCACGCATCCACTCGATTTGAGACCCGAAAACTCAGCTACTTCCAGTTTCTACACAACCAAAACAATCATGAAAATTACCGGTTAAACAAGAATATCCATTTAACAGTGATCAGAATAAGAGAGAAGAATGATGATGACCTTGGAGAAGCATTGAGTTGGGTATGATGTCTTGGAGTGGAGCTTTGTGCCTGTTGGGATTCTTGAATAAACAAAGGCTGCTGCATGGGAAGCCATGGCTGCTGCAACTAAAACTTCAGGAACAACTTAGTTCCAGTTTCTTTAGCAGGTATTTATGTTGTCTTTGTTTTCCAAGTTGAAAAAAATGTTGAATAAAACCATGGCTGAGATTGAAGAAAATGAGTGGTGAGGATGGAGTGGAGAGATTGAAAAGAGATAAGATCACTTGTCCTGTTGTATAACCTTCAAAATCTGAACCACAGATAGTTGACAACCCCTTTTTTTGTTCCATCCATCACAATATATACCATACACCTTGGACTTATGTTACAAGATAGATATATTCATTGCAACTGTAATTCACATTGATTATAAAGTCAAGAGTAAATGCATATAAGTCCTTGAATAAGTGGCTACCAAGCAAAGAAAATAAGGCTCCATTATTAGTTTTTTTTTTTTTTTTTTTTTTTTTTTTTTGTATTCTTGGCTGACAAGGGACTACAGTCTATTCAGCACTGAAGGGGGTTCTGTGTTTTGGGTTGAACTAGACTCCAAGGCAGCTGTGAAAGTGACATCTAGAGAGTGAGTTGATCCTAATAATCTGGGCTTCAGGCATACAAAACACCTTTCGAGGACCACTCTACTGCTAAATATTACTAAATGGTCAAATAATATGCTTTCAAGAATTGAAGTTTTCAGTCTAGGAATTTAAAATTTCTTTGTGAACCAAACGAAAGTACAACATATAGCAGCATTACAAGTGCTCAAGAGTTCAAAGCAGCAACCAGTGTAGTCATAAAGCAGAAAAATTTGAAGGGGATGAAATTTACATTTTATTCCTGAATTTAGAAAGTATGTGATAGTAAGGACCAATGACACATTGACACTAGTGAAAAGTTGGATCAATTTCATCACCCCTCAAGAACTTCTAGGCTAAGAACGAAGTTGATGTCTTCTGTAATGTGTAAAAACCACTAAAAGCGTTCTTATAAACCAACTTCAGCTCCGACTTCAGAGTTCACTACTGGTTCATCCTGGCTGTCGCCGTGCTTCATCTGGGAAGAAATGTCGTCTATAGCAGTGTTAAGCTGTTCAATCTTCTCTGCCAGTTTCTTGCGTTGTCTCTAAAAGGAGAAAAGGCATATATATAATAAATGTGTAAACAAGAAGATGTAGAAAATGTAAGTAATGTCCTCGCTGGTATTACGAATTGTTCAGAAAATCTGCTTACTTCAAGCACTTTTTCTTCATCATATATGAACTTTGGCAATTTCTTCATTAGGTCTTTCTTATCAATCTTATCAGCTCCGGCTAATGCATAACTGATCTGCAGCAAAGGAAGGATAAGTTCAATACGATGAAGTAACTCATCTACTTGTCATCAATTTAGCATAAATTTCACCAATATAGTAACTCACCACGATGAAGGAAAGAACATAAAATGCTAACTGCTATTGTAAGACTAGCAATTTGCTCGTAAACATGATTACCTGCGGTGCGAAGACACAACCAAGTGTACCGACAATTAATCCTCCCAAAATGAAGCCACCAACAAATGCGGTTGAGTTCCCACCATCACTTTCACTACACGAGTATATTGCCCAAATAAATTCTCACATATCACTAATTCACTATATATTATCCTATTCAATGCCATTTCCACATCTATCCCAGTATTCAAAGTTGGATCCTCATTATTAAGGAAAAAGGGTCAAATAGGACCCTAAACTTTACACCAAAAGTCAATTAGGCACTTAAACCTTTTAAAAAGTGCAATTAAACTCTCAAAGATGTTATTTTTGGTCAAATAAGTCAAATTTACCGGTAACCAACAGGTTACCGGTAAAATTACACGATTGACTATATTTTTTGCAGTTGACCGGCGAAATCTTATAGGAAAACATCACCATCGACCAAAAGGTCGCCTTTTTCGGCAAGGGCGACCAGTAAAGGTCGCCATCTCCAGGAGTTTAATTGCACTTTTTACTGGTTCCTAAACTGAAATGACCTGTAATAACAAGTCATTTACTGGTCCTTGGACTTCATTGCCTCAATTTGACATGTTAAAGGGTGTAATTGCACTTTTTAAAAGTTTAGGGACCTAATTGCCTTTTCAGGTAAAGTTTAGGGACTTATTTGACCCTTTTCCCCATTATTAATTTGCAAGGTGTCAATCCCTTTTCTCAACGTTATAGTGCGAACTAAAAACCGTCATAATCATGCAAAAAATTTGTGCAGGCTAAGTAAATAAAAGAAAAACAGTGTACCTATATTTTGCTTGAACAACAAATGAACTTCCCGATACAGACGAGTTTCTGGCACGCCTAGGATTAAAAGACAATGTGGTGGGACACACACTTTGGTCAACTGACTTCAGACAAAAGCCTGGCACAGAATAAGTAGCAAAGTTATACTACTTTGTGGCAAATATTTGAAGTGTAGAGCGGGAGAGATACAGAGATGTAAACAGACCAAAGCCGTAAATTTCTTTGCCTCATATACATATTTGTCAAGCACCCATCACTTATGAGATAGACAACAGATTGGCATTGTTCATGAGAACAAAAATGCCTGACTTCACATTCATATGCTTACTGGCATGCATAGTTAAAGCAAGTTTCAGAAGTTCACAAAATGCTTGTTAATATAATACCAAAGATCCTTTCAATGATGACCCTCATAGTAACAAATAGAAGAACTGCAAAGACAGTAATGCAGCAGAAATGGAGAAAACAATAGAAGCTCCATAAGGTTTTACAACAATCAATTATGAAAAAGAGATTATAAAGTAGAATTTACTTTTAGGGTGTGTTTGGAAACCCGGAAAATGATTTCTGTTTCCAGTGTTTGGATGTGCCGGGAGAATAGAGTCAACGGGAAACATTTTCCGTCGACTCTAGAAAATATGGCCATTTTGGAGGAAAATTACTTCCGTCAAAATTTGGCGGAAGTCATTTTCCACAAACCTCACAATCGTTTCTGACCTTGGTTTCCGGCGGAAACCCAGAGCTACCAGAAACCAGAGCTCTAGGTTTTCGCCAAAAACCCAAAGCTGCCGGAAACCAAACACACCAAGCCTATTTTCCAGAAGGCTACCAAACACTAAAAATGAAACTATTTTCTGGAAAATGACTCATTTTCCAGAAGTCATTTTCCTAGTTTCCAAATACACCCTTAAAGTAAACACATAGTATTGAAGCAATGGATGTATTGGTTAGCCATACATCAAGAACCACTGCCAAGGTCCCCGGTGGACCATTCATCTCTCAAGAAAGTCATCAAATAATGCAAAAAATCTAAGCATGCCAAAAATATCACTGTATAACTAGCAAAACCGCCTCCACTTCCCCAAAATCAATTTCTAACCTAGAAATAGAAGTATCCCAAGCTTGAATTTTGTCAAATGCAAACACAACCACATTCATACACATCTGTGACTTTGACATAGCATTTTCTTATTGCTCTTACATATCCTTTAAAATATTGGGCTTCTTTTGTGTTCCACACTTTCACTTTTCCAAGTAAAATTAGTACACCATAGCCAGAAGGGCATGGATTAATTTCATCAGACATTTCCCCCATTCTAATACCCACCATTTTCTTCCTAGTCTTTGCTTTTCTTTCTAATAACGACCTCAATCAGCTGCATACAGAAGCACTAGCACACACCACATCTATAATAACAAAAGAAGAGCACCCAAAGTTTCAATCTTGACGAGGTATGCTCTAAAGCTAAAATTCCCACATTTAAACCTCGATCTTTCTTCATTACACCAACAATCTGATATATTTCTTACCAGTTAACAAGCCCAAAAATAGAAAGAAAAGAAATGAAACAAAACAGAATTCAGAAAATAGATTATTGTTCCGAATATGAAACTAATTGGGAGTATTAAATTACCAGAGGATAAATGCAGTGGCTTGGATTTGGATAGAACCAGTGAGTTGGATAGAGCCATCGCCATTATTTTGTCGGAAGTTGAGGTGAGAAAGAGGGGTTTGTCAAAAAGCCGATTCAGAGTGAGGGAGAAGAAGTGAAGAAGCCGATGCCGGGACGGATATCTTGTGATCTTTTCGGCGTTGTTTACAAGAAATCAAGAAACAATGAACTTTAAAAAATGACATGAAATTAAGCTGAAGTAACATTTAAAAAAAAAAATTATTGACATGAAATTGTGTGTCTGATTCTATTAACAAGATTTAACTTAAGTTATTTTTAATTCAATTTTTATAATATTAAGTTTAGTATTAGTATACAAAATTTATATATGGTAGGGAATATCCCGATCGACATTATTTTACCCCGGCTGGTATGCCTTTGTCTTTTTCTTCTTGTCTTTGCAGGTAACAGGTCGGGCTTCTTGTGAGGAACCCGGTCGGGATCTGACCGGGAGTTGCCCGAGCGATAGTGTCGACCACCGAGCGGTAGCCCTTTGGCGCGAGAGCTGGCAAAGGACACGTGGCGGTTCCTTGCGACGACAGACAGGGCACCCGGGAAGATGACACGTGGTGGCTACGTGGAGAGCATGCCGAACGATCGGATTTGTGTCTCCGGCGCAGCGGCTATAAATACCCACAGTAGCTACAGTGTGAGGGACTTTTGGACGATCGATAGGTTGTTGTTAGAGAATCCCGACCGCAGTCAGTCGGCACTCAGAGCAACCAAGTAGATTGTACTTAGGGCCTTCACCGTGATCAATAAAGATATCTACTTGCTTTATTTGGTCTCGTGTTTGTTTAATTATTGCTTACGTAGTAATTAACAGTATCATTTTGGCGCCGTCTGTGGAGATCCGTGCAAGAAAGCAAACGTCTTGACAAGCACTTGCTCCTTCATTAACAATGTATCCGTGGGCACAAAACCTTTTTGCTGACGACCAGGCGGATGCAGCCAGTTCATCCGACCATCAGGCGACGCAACAACAAGGTCAGACCATGGACCTCAACCTCAATCTCTCACCACCACATCCATCCAACACATACCCGGCCGCCCAACAGCCGGTGAACTACATTCAACCGGGGTACCCAACGCCCGGTCAGCCATATCCGCAACCGCCGATGATGTATCCCGGCCAGTATCCATACCCGGTCCCACCTCCGCCGTACGGGTATTGGCCTGGCCAACCGATGGATTACACGCCCCCGGTTGGCTATCCACCATATACGCCTGCGTACACGGCTCCAGCCGCCGCCCCTCCAATTTACCCGGCCGCACAAGTAGAGCCGCAGCATCAACCCGCTTCCCGAGCTCGACGCTCGGCTCGTTCGCGGTTGGGGTCGGGGGGTGCTGATGCGATGGAGGCACCACGGCAGGCCCAGCAAGCAGCCGAGGTTCCCGCCCAAGCGGAGGACCCCGAAGAAGTTGCCCGAGCGGCAGCTTTTGATCGTCTTCGACCGGAGATGCGGCAGCGTTTGGGGCCCCAAGACCTGAACCGCCAGCAGGAAGACGTACAGATGCAGGAAGCCAGCCAGGAGGCTTCAACCGGGCATAGCGGGTCCAGATCTCACCGACGACGACGCGCTCGGGACGCAACCCAAGCTGTCCAAGCCGCCAAGCTCAATGAGACCCGAGGATTGCTTTATAACCTCCAGGCGGTGTTTGCGCAATTCAGAAACGCGCACCCTGCAACACCCCCGGTCGACCAATCGACCTTGCATCAGACGCCTTTTACAGCGGCGGTGATGGCTCAGCCTTACCCGCTTGATTTAAAGGTCTCTGGAGAGAAGAGTTATGATGGCCGGACGGACCCCGAGGTCCATGTCAATGACTTCTACATCAATATGATGTTGAAGGGCGTATCAGACGCCGTAATGTGTAGGGCATTTTATTCCACGCTTACCGGTCGAGCGGCGGAATGGTTCCGGACCTTGCAGCCGGGTTCGATCGACAAGTTTTACACCTTGGCGATCAAGTTTGTGAGGAAGTTCATCACTTCCAAGGTGGTGAGGAAGCCCTATATGTATCTGGAGAAGGCCAAGCAGCTTGAAGGGGAGAGCTTGACCGACTTCCTCATCAAATGGAAGGCGGCGGTCGGGGAGGTCGAGCCCATGGATGATGCGACCGCCACCCATATGCTTCATATCTCCCTCCGGGCGGGTTATTTATACCAGGACTTCATTCTACACCCCTCGGCCACATACGAGGAGGCCCTTCGAAGGGTCACAGATTATGCCAACGCCGGCGAGGCGAATGCCGTAAAGCGCGCGCAGGAGGTCGGGTCTTCGTCCCGTAAACCGGCCGGCCGGGCGGAACACCGATCGGGTGATGACCATCCCCGATCCCGCACCAGGCCTGGTGAGTTTACGGCCCTGAACCGATCCGCAGCGGAGGCCATGCAGTACGCCCAGTCCTGCAATCTCATCAAACTCCCCCATCCCGATCGAGACGGCCCCGACAAGAGTAAGCATTGCGCTTACCATCGATGTGCCGGGCATGACACTGAAGAGTGTACCCACTTGCGCCAACTGTTGGAGGATTTGCTCAATCTTGGGAAGTTGGACAAGTGTGTGGGGAGGAGAGAAGACCCCAAGAGGAACACCGATCGGAGAGATCACCGGCGTCCCCATCACCGCTCCGATCGCTCTGATCGTGATGGACGCTCCGATCGGTCAGGTCAGGACCGAAGAGACGATCGAAGAGATGATCGTCGCGATGACCGACGGGACTCTGACCCTCCGTCTAGCAGCCGACCAGCAGGAAAGCCGACCATCCACGTCATTTTTGGTGGATTGGAAGACGCTTCCCGACCGAGGAGTAATTGCCCGGTCGCCATAGTGGATTCCCGGGAGACCGGGAAGAGGCAAAAGATGGAGCCCATAACCTTCACCCTCGAAGATCAGCCCAACAGCGGTGACCATGGCATGGAGGCGCTCGTGGTCACAATTGATGTGAAAGGGACGGATGTCCAGAGAGTTATGGTGGACACTGGCAGCAGTGTGAACGTCCTTTATTTGGACGTATTCGAGAAACTAGGACTTGACAGGAAGGAGCTGACTCCGGTCGGTGTACCACTGTCGGGTTTTACCGGGGCTCTTGTTTACCCCGAGGGAAAAATAACGCTCCCGGTTGAGATCGGCACATCCCCAAAGTCGATCAAGATGGAGCTAGAGTTTGTTGTGGTCAACCTCCATTGCGTCCACAACATTATCTTGGGCCGACCCGCCATTATGAAGATCGGTGGGATAATTTCTATGCCCCACTTGTGCATGAAATTCCCCACCCCCAACGGGGTCGGTGTAGTCCGCGGCGACGTCCAATCCGCCTGGAAGTGCTACACCCGAGCGGTCAATAGACGTGATTCCGGTCCGTCTTCCCGGGTGAACACCATAGCCAAGGAAGAGGCTAAGGATCGGAAGGAACAACCTGAGCCTTCCGAGGAGATAGAAGAAGTTCCCCTGTCCGAGGACCGACCGGACAGGAAGATTAAGATTGGCCGGGCCCTCACCCCCGAGCTCCGGGCGGACATCTTGGCCATACTCCGGGAGTATGCCGATATCTTTGCATGGGGGCCCGAGGATATGCCCGGGATCGATCGATCGGTAATCTGTCACAAGTTAGCCGTCGATCCAGCAGCAAAACCGGTCGTACAGAAGACCCGGCACCTTTCTTCCGATCGCCGCGAGTTTGTCAAAGAAGAAGTTAAGAAGATGGCAGCGATCGAGCACATCCGACCGGTGATCTATCCCGAATGGGTGGCCAACATTGTTCTCGTTCCGAAGCCCCCAGCTTGGAGGATGTGCATAGATTTCACCGACCTCAACAAGGCATGTCCGCTCGACCCGTATCCTCTACCGAGTATCCATCAGATGGTCGACGAAACGGTCGGGGCCGAGTTGATGAGCTTCATGGATGCGTTTAAAGGATATCATCAGATAATGATGCACCATGAAGATGAGAGCAAGACAGCCTTCGTGACCCCGGACGGGCTGTATTGCTACCGAGTGATGTCGTTCGGCCTCCGTAACGCGGGAGCCACCTACCAGAGGATGGTCAATATGCTCTTCGCCGATCTGTTAGGCCGAACGATGGAAGCTTACATAGATGATATGTTGGTCAAGAGTCGAGACCGATCCGACCACACTCAGGATCTCAGGGAGTGCTTCCAGATCATGAGGAAGTACCAGTTACGGCTAAACCCGACCAAGTGCACATTTGCGGTTCAGACCGGCAAGTTTCTCGGCTATATGATGACCAAGAGGGGAATCGAGCCCAACCCGGCCAAAGTAAAAGCGATTCTGGACATGCAACCACCTTCTACCGTTCGGGAGGTCCAGCAATTGACCGGTCGGTTGGCAGCTCTCAGCCGGTTCCTCTCAAAGTTAGCCGAGCGTGCTTTACCTTTCTTCAAGGTATTGCGGAAAGTTAATGGATTCGTCTGGGACGAAGAATGCCGAGCGGCTTTTGATGAGCTGAAAGAGTATCTCATGTCGCCAATTGTGCTCTCAAAGCCCGAGCTCGGAGAAGAGCTAGACGTATACCTCGCCGTTTCCGATCGTGCAGTAAGCGCAGTATTGTGCCGAACCGATCCGGAAGGGGTCCAGTGACCGGTGTACTATGTAAGCCACGCGCTACATGGTCCCGAGCTCCGGTACTCCCGGTTAGAGAAGGTCGTCTACGCCTTATACATTGCCGCGAAGAAGTTGGCTCCCTATTTCCAGGGTCGAGCAATTCGCGTGTTGACCGATCAGCCGATAGGGCCAGTCCTCCGAACTGCCTCATCATCCGGTCGCCTAGTCAAGTGGGCGTTAATGCTGACCCAGTACGCGATCGAATACCGACCGAGACCTGCCATCAAAGGTCAAGCTTTGGCTGACTTCTTGGTCGAGTGCACCGCTCGGGATACCCGACCTCCCGAGGTTGCGGATCCCGAGGCTGAGTGGTGGTCGTTGGCTACTGATGGTTCGAGTAGCAAGAAAGGGGCAGGAGGAGGAGTAGTGGTCACGAGCCCAGAAGGATTCAAAGTTTATTTTGCCCTTATGTATCAGTTCCATCCGACCAACAATGAAGCCGAGTATGAAGCCTTCATCAATGGCTTACAGTGCGCTCGGGACCTGGGGGCTGAATACATTCGAGCTCAAACGGATTCTGCGCTCGTGGTCGGGCAGGTTCTCGGAGATTATGAAGTCAATGGAGAGCGTCTACAGCTATATCGAGACCTAGCCATGGAAAAGCTTGCTCAGTTCCGGGGGTATACCGTCCGGCATATACCCCGATTAGATAATGCCGACACGGACATCTTGTCTAGGTTGGCTCAAGACGCCCCGGAACACATGTCAAAGATAGCTCGGATTCTGGTGATCCCGAGACATAGCATCCATCGCCTACCGGTCAATCCGATCCAACCGGTAGAAGACAGCTGGATCACCGATCTGAAGGAGTTCCTCGAGCACGGTCGGCTCCCAGACGACCCTCAGCGTGCTCGGAAGGCCAAGCTTAGAGCCCCGAGGTTCCAAGTCTTGGACGGCTGTCTCTACAGGCGATCGTATGGAGGCCCTCTTATGCGTTGCTTGACCGCATTTGAGGCCGATCTGGTCATGAAGGAATTGCATTCGGGGATATGTTCTTCACATCAAGGAGGCCGATCGTTAGCCCGTCGTATCATGCTGATCGGGTACTATTGGCCGTCCCTCCAGCTAGACTGTGAAAAGTTAGCTCGGGAATGTGAGACGTGCCAACTGTTTGCCCGGATGCCTGGACGACCGGCAACCTTCTATCAGCCGGTCACGACTGCAAACAAAAGAAAGGGTTAGATCGAGTTAAAGGCCCGGTCGGGCTATTAAGGTCAGAAAAGAAGGTTAATGTTGAACCTTTGCCCTTTCGTTTTCCCCGGGCGGGCATCCTTGCGATCGTAACGCCCCGGGGTTCGGGCTTGTACTTCTCGGGCATATCGTATACGGGCTCGGGCAAGTTGGCCGCTTCGAGGGACTCGGGCGTCTTGAAGATTTGATATTCGTAAATCTCGCCCGAGATTTTGGTAACGACGTCTATAAGGGCCTGAGTCTCGGTTGGGATAACTTGTTTTCGGAAACGCTGACTCCAGACCCTCTCGACCGCGAGGATCCATGGATCATATTTCACTGAAAAGATCCGGTTTCTCCACCCCCGGTTATTCCCGGGCAGCCCCACAATGGAGCACTTGTCTGCTCGGGACTGGGTCATCAGGAATCCACCCCCGTACGCGGCTGCCAACATCTTCACCTGGTAAACGAAGTTGAACAGCTCCATGGTGCAGGCTAAGTTGTGCCGACTGCAGATCTGGGGAAAGCACGCGATTATCCGGTACGCGTTCGGGCAGATCTGTCCGGGCATAACCTGGTAGTAGCCCAGGAATGCGGTGAGGAGGCTCGAGAAAGGGAAAGTGATCGGGGCCATGAGGGAGTCGTAGTGCATCCCGAGCCACTTTCCCTGGTGTCGCTCGATGACGTTCCCGAGCTGCCTGCTAGTGTCGAACTCGACCCGACCGGCAAGAGTTGCAACAATTCTGCTTGCTTCTCCTTTTGTTAGCAAGCTCTTTTGGCCTTCGACGCTTTCGCTGTTAAGGAACTCAAACCCGTCCCCGCTTGGCGCCGCCGGCCCGGCCGGGTCTCCCTCGACCGCTTCTGCTTCGCCTGCCCGATTGCCCTCTTGGGGCTCGGTTTGAGGGTAATCCCCTATTACCCTCGTAGGCGTTCCCCTGGCATCTTCAGCCAGGGAATTTCGTCCGCTCGTGGACCTGTCGTCGCTCCCCGACCCGCTGGAGCTTGATCCCGATCTCCCCGATGAGCTTGACGACCCTGCTGGCTCGGGGGCTCGGTCGGGGATCTGTTGTGGTCGTTGCTCGACCTCCTGAGAGTAGGACATGATGTCCACCTCCTCGCTGCTCTGTTCGAGCGTGTTGTCGTAGTCTGCGACGGAGACGTTCTGGCTATCTGAGTCCGACATGTTTTTTCTACCTAAAGGTCGATCGAGGTTAGTACAGGGGTCGGGAAGTTAGATCGGAGTTAGTCCTACCCTATTCCTATGCAAAGCTAAGAATAAAGCAAAAGATAAGGAGAGGAGAGCTTACCGATTGGAGGTGCTTTGCGAAAATAGTCTTGAAGTCTTTTTGCTCGACTGCCTTGCTGAGGTGCTCTGCTTGGGACTCTCTGAGGGTACCGATCGAAGCGATAGATTTTGGAGAAAGTTCAAATGAGGGCCTCAAGGGCCTATTTATAGGAGAGCATTTAGGCGGGAAACGAGTCCACTTGCGTGACACGACCCGCGCTGATTCCGAGGCGACTGTTGCAGTCGCAGTGGCCGACACATGGCGAGGGAAGGAATGACAGCTGGCTGGTCGGTTCGATGGCTGACGGTTGGGCTTCTTCATCCCGTCCCGTTTTTTCCCGGACGGTAAAAAAGGCCCGGGCTGGGGGGCTCTTGGTAGGGAATATCCCGACCGACATTATTTTACCCCGGCTGGTATGCCTTTGTCTTTTTCTTCTTGTCTTTGCAGGTAACAAGTCGGTCTTCTTGTGAGGAACCCGGTCGGGATCTGACCGGGAGTTGCCCGAACGATAGTGTCGACCACCGAGCGGTAGCCCATTGGCGCGAGAGCTGGCAAAGGACACGTGGCGGTTCCTTGTGACGACAGACAGGGCACCCGGGAAGATGACACGTGGTGGCTACGTGGAGAGCATGCCGAACGACCGGATTTGTGTCTCCGGCGCAGCGGCTATAAATACCCACATTAGCTACAGTGTGAGGGACTTTTGGACGATCGATAGGTTGTTGTTAGAGAATCCCGACTGCAGTCAGTCGGCACTCAGAGCAACCAAGTAGATTGTACTTAGGGCCTTCACCGTGATCAATAAAGATATCTACTTGCTTTATTTGGTCTCGTGTTTGTTTAATTATTGCTTACGTAGCAATTAACAGTATCAATATATTTAGAAATTACACTAAAAATACTATTAAATACAATAAATAAAATTTAAAAATATGTTAAAAAAATACTAAAGAAAATAAACACACACACAAAAAAATGTTAGTTTGACCAATGAATAATAAATAGGATAAATAAAATGAGACAAAAAGAGAGGTATAGTTTCATTTGACAATATAAATTATTGTATGAGCTCTATTTTGTTATTTCATTTTCCACACACACTAGTTTAATTATAATAATGATAAAGTATTGTTTTAATTACACTCCACGAGTCCACGTTCATTTGATAATATATGTTATTGTATAATTCTGAATTTTAGTTTCATTTTTCACACACATTAATTTCATTTTAACAACATTAAAGTATCATTTTAATTATACTACAATTTAATTTGACAATACGTTGTTGAATGAGTTTTGTTTTTTAGTTTTATTTTTCACACACACTAATTTCATTTTAGCAACAATAATGGTCCACATAGCATTATGGACTATAGTAAGACTATATAACAACCGATGCTTCAAAGCTTTGTGTGAAATACTTCGGAGACATATAGGGTTATGAGATTTCACTGTAGTGTTCAAGTAAAGCCTATTTATATAAAGATTAAAGCATAAAGTAATGTGATCTATAAATTAAAATTTTTAGCTTCAAAATATAAATATATTTCTCATAATTAATTTTGAATATTTAAAACTTTTTGTATACTATTAGCTAAATGTATTTTGTAGAGTAAAAGAAAAATATTTTTTTAAAACAAATATTATAATATTATTATTTTATTATTCTTTTATTCTATGAAAGAATAATAAAATATTAAAATGCCATATGGCCATATGGGCATCAAGTGACAAATATGTACCAAAAAGCTCCAATGAAGGACCAACTAACTATGGGCTTGTGTTAGTGGGCTCAGCTAGTGAAATACAATTTCTTCTGTAAGCCTTGTAATTTGGGATACAAATGTTGCGCAACTTATGCCGTGCAACCGAATGCACCTAGCAAGGTGCATACGGTTGCAAAACGGCGCCATTTTACTAAAAAAACGACACGGCGCGCACAAAATCAAAAAAAAAATAAAATTGGATGGCCGTTAGCGGCGTTATTCATATCATATTTGGTAGTTTTGCGATTTTTTGGTAGTTTGGCGTTTTGATTGCAGTATACGTAAAATCGCAATCGCAATAGCGATCGCAGTCATTTTCCTGGTTTATTGTATGGATCTCATGATGGATGATGCAGTAGACCAGAGAGACGAGGCATTAGATCAGAGAGATGAAGCAGGCGATGAATTGCATACGGTTCCAGGTTATTTTGCAGTTTGATTTTTATGGATTTGTGGTCGTTTGCGATTTTTGCAGTGTGATATATTGTGTAGGTGTTTATATTTAGTGTGATGTTTATTGTGTATGTGATGTTTATGTGATTCTAGTCTGAGATCATTCGTAACTCTTGGTGTTTATGTGTTTATGGTTTTCTGAATGAACGAAATATATATCCATAATCTTTGAACTATAAAACCAGAAGTTGTGAGCTATATATCCAGAATTATAGTAGTATATATCAAGGATTTTGTGAATGGATACTCTGTTCTGGATTGTATATCCATAATTATTGAACTTTTATGTCCAGAAACTGTGAGCTTTATATCCAGAATTCTATCACTATACATCCAGAATTATAATACTATACATCCACAAATTTCTAAACTGATACTCTGTTCTGGCTTTTAACACTATGCAGTCAGTGAAGATGTTGTTGTTGATTCACCAAGTTCAGATCCAATAGAGTTAGACATTGATGGTTCTTCTTCTAATCCAGGTCTATATGTAGTTTTATATGATCATAATTCACAGTGTTCAGCATTGTTATATGTTCATTCTTTTTCCATGGAAAATGTTATTCCTTTTGTAGAGCATGGCTGGATTTATTCGGCATTCCCCGCACCCCCTCTACATAGGAATTATATTTTCAATGGAACGTGTATTATTTAGTATACTTGAGGTTATATATTGCATTTGCAGTTGATGAAGATTTGGTTGGTGTTGTTGTAAGTAACGGGGTTGAAGCGTATGAGTTGTATAACAATTATGCATATAGAGTTGGTTTTAGTGTGAGGAAGGGTAATCAACGGTGCAAGGTATATAGCAAAACAGTCCAAATGAAGATGTTTATGTGTTCTAAAGCTGGTTTTAAGGTTAAGGCAAATGCTGGTGTTAGGGCATATTCAAAAATTGACACAAGGTCAGGGTGTGGTGCATGTGTTCAGTTTGACGTCGGTGAGGATGGGTTGTGGACGGTTACAAAACATGTAAAAGTGCACAATCACGAGTTATGTGCTGTAGACAAGAGTCATCTTCTGCGTTCACATAGAAATGTGGGTGATAATCAACTGTTATATTTAAAAGATTTGAAGAAGAGTGGTGTTGCAATGGCAGATGGTATTAGGTTCTTGAAACATCAAGCAGGGGGGTCTCCATTAGTTGGCTTCACTAATCGAGATGCTTATAATTCAATTGCTTCTGATACATCAAAGCGTTTGGATGGAACCGATTCGAACTCATTAATTGAAATATTTAGGAAGAGGCAGTCGACTGAGTCTGATTTTTTCTTTGATTTTGAAGTTGATTGTGATTCAAGACTATGCAGTTTTTTTTGGAGGGATGGTCGGATGAGACAAGACTATGAGTTGTTTGGGGATTTATTAGTGCACGATACAACTTATCGCACTAATAAATATGATATGATTTGTGGCCCTTTTGTAGGGATGAACCACCATTGCATGAATGTAATGTTTGGATGTGGTTTTCTGATGAATGAGAGGATAGAATCATTTGTGTGGCTGTTTAGAGCATTTTTAAGGTCTATGAATGGGAAATGTCCACAGACTATCATGACAGATCAATGTGCATCCATGGCTGCTGCTATTTGTCAGGTGTTTCCAACATCACGTCACCGTCTTTGCATATGGCATATTGGCGAGAATTCGAAGAAGCATATCAAGGCGTTAAGGAATAACAAGGATTTCTTAGATATGTTTAACTGTGTGTTGAAATACACAGAGACTGAAGCTGAGTTTGAATTTTATTGGACAAGGTATGTCCACTACTTTTTTTTTTTTTTCCTTTTTCGATTCCAGTAATTGAATTATGGATGTTTAGTATTAGAATTATGGTCATATAGTATTAGAATTATGAATATATAGTATTAGAATTATGTGAACATGTTGTAGTATAGAATGGAACTTCTTGATTGTTCCTGAGTTACATGCATTTAATTTATGGATTTATAGTTTTGGAATTGTGAATATACAGTGTTAGAATTATGGACATATAGTATTAGTTGTCTGAACATGTATTAGTGAAGCAGTGAGCTTCCTGTTTGTCTCTAAATTATATGCATGCAATTTATGGATTTATAGTATTGGAATTGTGGATATATAATATTACAATTATGGATATATAGTATTAGTTGTCTGAACATGTAGTAGTGAAGCAGTGAGCTTTCTGTTTGTATTATATGCATTCAATTTGTGGTTTTATTATATTGGAACTGTGGATATATAGCATTAGAGTTCTGAACATATGTCTTATCATTTCAGGTTGGTGACTGACTACAAGTGCCACAAGAATAGTTGGATACAAAAGCTATATGACTGTAGGGAGAAGTGGTGTCCAGCATTCAATAAGGACTATTTTTCAGGGGGCATTTTATCATCGCAAAGGAGTGAAACTACTAACCATTCGATTTCAAGAAGGCTGTCCAAGACTGTAGGTCTATGTGATTTTTATTCATCGTTTGTTAGTGTAACTTCTGAATGGAGGAGCAAAGAGAATGGTGAAGACTTTCGTTGTACTCAAGGGGTACCCAACATGATGATGGAGCACGTAAAACTTCTGTTACACGCTAGAGAGGTATATACGATTGAGATATATTTTTTGTTTGAGGAACAATTCATGAAAGGCAATGCCTGTCATCAAGAAATGGTGTTGAATGAAGGTTGTCAGTTCAAGTATCACGTATGGCGTCCAGATATAGATATTATAAGGCATGAAGTCAGTTTTAAGTTGTCAACCTTAGACATTTCGTGTAGTTGCAAGTTGATTTCGGAGTTAGGAATTTTATGCTGCCATTGTTTACGCATTCTTCATATACACTGTGTTTCAAGTATTCCTAACAAATATATCATGAAAAGGTGGACTAAAAAGGTTGCTGATGGTAGGGATGTGAATACTGGTTCAATGTTTTGTAGAGTTGGTGTCCCTCCTTCAATTTGGGTTGTGGAGATGATAAATAGTATTTTGATTGTTATTTTAAATAATATTTTTATAGTTAATTTGCAATAATTAGTTTATTTTATATTTATTTTTATTTATTATTGTTATATTTAGTTTTATTAATATTGTTGATTTTTAAGGTTGTTTTTGTTATTAATTTAGTTTTGTTATTTTGTTATTAATTTTTGTAAGTCTAATAAATTCTTAACGTCAATTTAATAAGATTATTATTGTTATTATAGTTTTAGTTAGCTAGTTAAATAAGGATTCTAGTTTATCTTTTAATTGTAATTTATTTAACTAAAGAATAAGTCTTCCGTGCCCGCGAACAAACAGAGCCGAACGGACAATTTGCGACAGCGGCTCGGTCATCTTCAAGATCCGATTGAAAAGCGGAAGAGCGGGAGAAAAGTTGGAGCGAAGTCTCGATGCAGAAATTGGAGGTACGCCAATAGTATAAAAGGAGTCCAAGGTTGATCAATCCGGATATCAGTTTTGCCCCGGACTAATTCCGGAGGCGGTGGCAAAGATTTCCTGAACAATTGTAATTTCAATTCGGTGCAAAGCAGTTTCGGGCGGTGATTACTTCCTAGGCAGCAACAACAATCAATTTCTGTGAAGCAGCAACGTGCTCTGGTTTGGCAGAACAATTCTATTTGTTTTAGTTAATTCTTTGGCAATTCTTCAAATCTCTTTATTCTTTCTATTTGTTAATTCATTTTTGTGGTTTTGTTTAATTCATCTACTCAATTCATAACTCTCTTCAATTATTCATTTTATTTTATTGGTTGGCAGTTTATGTATTTGAAATTGAACCTAGATTGTAGAGTCAATATAATCTGCAGCTTTATTATATTTGCATTGCGTAATTATTTTTATTTTTATTGCTAAGCTTTATTTGCTTTTATTTATTAAGTTTTATTATATTTACTTTTAAGGGTTGATATTAAAATGCTTTGCTAATTAAATTCATGTTCTTAGACTTTTATTACTCTATTACATATCAATTCGTGCGTTTTCAATTTGTGCGTTTAAACTATGTTGATTGTCGTTTAATTTAATCTATTTGTTATTCTGCTTTCTGGTATGATTTCATTGTTTATCTTTCCGAGTTTTATGGATTTTACTTTTGGCATTTGATCCTATTACCTTAAATCATCCAGTTTTAATTAAAACGTAATTAAATTGCATCGTACAATTCCCTGTGGGTTCGACCCTTGCTATTGCACGCTAAAACTACAATTGACTCGTGCACTTGCGAGGACTTAATTAAATTGTCCATCAGGAGATTTGCAGAAAGTTTCAAAGACTGATTTCATCTAGTCAAGATAACAGTGTAACTTGGCAGTTCTGTGATGAAGCAGTTGAGGAAGCAAAGAAAAAGGTTGAAGCTGAGATTGGCTATGTGCATATTGAAGAGTGCGGTGTTTCATCTTCAAGTGGTGTCATTCAAAATCCTTCAAACCGGAGATCAAAAGGTGAGCGTAACGTAAGGAGGAGTAGTGTTATTGAAAAGAAGTACAGTGCTGCAAGGGGGAGGAGGAGTGCTGCAAATAAAGTTGCTTCGAGTACAAAGGGTGCTGTTCAGTCGTTGGTTTTGGAAAGTCTATCTGAGATTGCCGGGGATGGGTACCTTGTACATCCAAGTTCTGGGAGTTCGGAGTTTTGTCAGTATAGTAATGATGTAGATGATAACGCAGTTGTAGATTGAGAGTGGGGTTAATACCAGTTGGTAGCTAGCTGTTTTGAGGATATGAATTTACAAGTTGTTTGATCTGTGTATTCAAAATTTTAGTACTTGTTGATTTGCAGGTTTGAAGCTATATATCCATAATATTAAAGCTACATATCCATAATACTAAAGCTATATATCCATAATATTAGAGCTATACATACATATTCTGAGAACTATATGACCACAAAATATTGGAATTGTGTGTCAAATTAGTAAAAGTGTTCATAATGTTATATCATTATATCCACAATATTAAAGCTATATATCAATATGTAAACTGGTGAACTTGATGTTTACACTTATGTAAAATGTAAGTTCACAGTTGAACGAATATTCATAACTTTATATCAATATGTCTACAATCTTAAACCTATATGTCCATAATTCTGAGAACTATATGACCACAAAATATTGGAATTGTGTGTCAAATTAGTAAAAGTGTTCATAATGTTATATCATTATATCCACAATATTAAAGCTATATATCAATATGTAAACTGGTGAACTTGATCACTTATGTAAAATGTAAGTTCACAGTTGAACGAATATTCATAACTTTATATCAATATGTCCACAATCTTAAACCTATATGTCCATAATTCTTGAAATATGAATATATGAATATTTGAACGGTATGTTTATACTTATGTAAGATGTTCATAATTTTATATCCATACATCCACAATCTTAAACCTACATGTCCATAATATGAGAACTATATATTCAGTGAATTTCATAGATCGAATTTCAAAAATTGTGATAGAGTTGTTACAAAACGACCATAAGAACAGAAAATATTAAAATATTCATCCACAAAAACATTCATTGATCTTTCCAGTTTTACTTCTTCTTGTCTTCAATCTTTGCAGCTTTCTTGACCTCGCCTTTGACGCTGTTCAGCTTTGACATGATGATACAAGCAGCATACTTTGCCCTCAACTCAAAAATGAAGCTAGCCTGTAAAATAAGAAAAATAAATAACTAGTTCATTGTAATTTTTTCATCACTTTTTGATGTAGTTGGAATGTAATATATTTATGTTACTCTTACATTCGTGCGCATATGTTTCTTGAACCCAGGATTCCAGTTCTCGAGAGCTCCACCCATGTAACTCTCCATATGCCGCATTACATATATGCCACAGTCGGTGACATTCTCTGCATTTTTCCAGTGCATGGCAAGGAACTCTACTGGCATGCTGTTCAGTTTGTGAGTCAAGGTGGATTGTCCTGCTACCAGGTACGCCTTGAATGCTTCAATCTGGTAAAAAATTAGCTCAATGTTCATAATGTTTTAAATTCAATATATAGGTGACAATAAGGAGATTTTTTAATATAATATAAGCTACCAGTTTGTATGGACAGTCCCCATATTTATCAAGCTCTGAAACACCAACAGGCAATTCCTTGTTGTCTATCACCTGAACCTTGGATTCCTTGACATTTATGCACACAACAAAGTAGTGTGCATGGCGATGCACTGGGAAAAATATCTAATTCCAAAACAAAAGGTTATTATTTGAAACAACTACATACCCAGGTACTGTTAACTGCATGGGTATACATTCATATTTGACAGAGTACTATATATCCATAATTATAAAACTATATATCCACAAAATTCAGAAATTTATAAAGATCCTAATAAGCCGAGTATATTCCAAGCTTCAAGCATATAAATCCACAAATTAATAACTATACATCCAAAAACTACATTACCATATATCCAGAATTCTTAACAGTCTGTTCACAGAGTAATACATTCATATATTAACAGAGTACTACATATCCATAATCACATAACTATATATCCACAATTTTAAGACTATATATCCACAAATTCAGAACTTTATAAAGGATCTTATTAAACTTTGTATATTCCAAGCTTCATGCATATATATCAATAATAAAATCTTAAATTATTAAATTAAGTGTGTGTAATAGATCTTACAAGGTCTGCATCACTGATTTCCAGGTTTCCAAAACTTGATATTTCATAATTCAATCTATCATTGAAATTTTCCATCCTTTTCTCAGCTGGGAGACTTTTCATCCAATCATCAGATGGATCAAGCTGCAGCTGTTTTTGAATACACAGAAATGCAAAAAATGAGTATTCAAAAGGCTTAGAGTACTAGATTTTTAAAAATGTGCATCTGCATGTCAAAAATAACTCTTACATGTGGCAGTGTGGTGAAGAATACGCGTTTTGGTATCCCAACAGCTCGTTCTGTGTTCTTCAAAGTTAGCCGCAAAGACCAAATATTCAAGAAGTCTATATCCAACTCACCATTGCTCAAAGTTGAGAAGTGACGCCTTGTTAGGTAGTAGTCACCATAGCTGAACAGCAACTCACTACAGCACCAAAATAACAATAATAATAATAATAACACCAATAGTTATAATAATATGAACTATCTAAGTAATTTAAAGGTTATTATAAATATATGTGTTCAAACATACTCTTCTGGGTGTTCGGTAGACACACTCAAGAATGCATAGTTTGAAATGATTTTTTCCCGTGGAGTTGTAGTGCGTATAAAACCTGCATTCTGTGTCCAGTATGGTGACCTCAAACAAAGAGGTTTGTTCCTGAATCGTCGCTGGGGTCTCATCCTAACAGTCACGTCATCAACATCAGACTCACTTTCTTGCATGGCACTGTTGTTTATATATCCACAGTATTAGAACTTTATATCCATAATATTAAACATATATGTACATAATCATAGAACTATATATTCACAGATTTAAAATGTTCATAATTTTATATCTATATATCCACAATTTTAAAGCTATATGTCCACAGTTGTAAAAATGTTCATAAGTTTATATTCATAATTTTAGCACTATAAATTCATAACGTTAAAGCCAAATGCAAATAACAAACTGTAAATTTACCAATCAAAGTCATCAACATCAGCATCAGTAGCAGCGGCATGACGAACATATCTCTGAAATGGGACCCTAACAAGTGGAGGAGTTACTTGTGCTTCCAAGGTCGTTGACAGTCCTGCATCCTCTCCAATTTGTTGAACCAAAGCATCCAATGGTAGGTCCTCTTCAACTACTTGCTCTGTGTGATGCTCACATGGCTGCGGTTGCGATTCATTGCAGTGTATTCCCAAATCAAATGATGGAGCTTCAAATTCCATGGTTCTTGTTGTCTTCTGAAATGCTTCCACCAATGAATCCACTGCAGCGGTGAAGGTTTCACTCCCAAAGAATATGTCATCCAACTGAGATTCAGTTGGAATGGAAGTTGATTCAATTGCGCTTGCAGCACCTAGCATGTTTGATATCCCTGAGAACGCTTTCTTCATGACTTCAATAGGTGCGCCCTGCTTTCCAATTTCAGACATAGCTTCACCAAACTCCAGGACATCTGATGCTAGCTTTTGGAGCACACGGGTCACCCGATCAACACTTGAGAGTGGCTCACTTGTAGTTGGTGTCGGTGTTGCAGTAGCAGGAGTAGAAGAAGTAGTAGCAGCAGCAGTAAATGCAGGTTGTGGTAGTGAGGTTGTAGCAGCAGCAGTGCCTGCAGGTTGTTGCAGTGAGGTGGTAGCATCAGTCCTTGGCTTCTTAACTCTAGGGATAACCCTTCCTTTTCCAAACCCACCAGCCCTCTTTTCAGCCTTGACTCTCTTTCTTACAAGCGTGGTTGTCCAAGCAAGTATGCTAGGGTATGTCCTGTTGATCTTCATTCCTTTGAATTCTACTCGATCAAAGTAGAACAGCTACAAATTACAGAAGATTATGTTAAAGATGAATTTAGAACAATTTATCCATGTATTCTTAATTGCATGGTCACAGTGTAATGCATAACTATATGTCCATAATCACATAACTATATATCCATAACTTTAAAACTATATATCCACAAAATTCAGAAATAAAAAATGATATTAATAAAATGAGTATATTCCAAGTTTCATGCATATATGTCCATAAACCCATAAATATACATCCAAAAACACATTAATATATATCCAGAATTATTAGCAGTATGTCCACAGAGTAATACATACATATATTCACAGAGTACTACACATCCATAATCACATAACTATATATCCACAATTTTAAAATTATATATCCACAAATTAAACTGCATAAAGGACCTCATTAAACTGAGTGTATTCCAAGTGTCATGCATATATATCCATAAACCCATAACTATACATCCAAAAACACATTAATATATATCCAGAATTATTAACAGTATGTCCACAGAGTAATACATTCATATATTCACAGAGTACTATATATCCATAATCACATAACTATATATCCACAATTTTAAAACTATATATCCACAAATTAAACTACATAAAGGATCTTATTAAACTGAGTATATTCCAAGTTTCATGCATATATATCCATAATAAATTGTTAGTTATACACCTACAACTACATAAAATTCATGCAACTAGATTAAAGACAATAAGAACTGACCAATATCAATGTCATTGGCCCCCAAAAGCTTCTCTTTCTATCTTCATTGTAACTATCTATCGAGTCAATGAGAGATTGGTATGTGTAGGCGCACCAATTGTACTCTTTAATCATATCAACATCAATCAATGAGTTTAAGATCCTGTACTTGGAGTAGCGTGTTGTGTTTCCTCGAAGCATGGAGGAAACGGCAAAGACTACAAAATCCCTCTTGAACTCATCACCATGATCAGCTCTCCTAACAATCTCATCTGGCATCTGTGTAGTTATTGGCGAGCCTGCTGTAATACCCCACCTCCTTCTCCATGAAGTCAGCAGCAGTTTGTATTCACGGGTTGAGGTGTCTTCCATCTTTGTCCCCTCATTGACCTTCAGAGGCCCTCGCGGGATTCCCAACGTGTATTCGACATCTTCCTCTTCAATGTGGAGACTATCATCATCTAATACAAAATCACACCTGCAAACATTAAAGTTGTCCAGCAGGTATTGCACCAACTTTGATTCATTGGTGCAGAGTTGGAGATGAAGAAGTCCACCAAATCCAGTTTCTACGACAGCTTGTTTCTGTCGTGGTGAGAGCCTCTGGACAAGATCAAACATCAGCTTTGGCCCCATCCTCGTATTGAAGTAATCTCTCCTGTGTTCTCTAGTTCGTCGGCGCCGTCTCGTTGAAGTCTCTGCAACAGTTGTTTCCTTAGCAGGGCGTGAGCGCTGAGCTGCTTGTGAATTTAGGGCTGCTGCTGGTTGTTCACTAGTTGGATTAGAGCTCTGAGCTGCTTGTGAATCTAGAATTGCTGCTGTCCGGTACTCTGTTCTTCTTCTTTTTGTTTCTCTAAGAGCCTCAGCGAGTGTAGGTTCACGAGCCATTTCTGTAAATAAGAATTATTAAACTATACATCCATAATATCACAACTATTTGTCCACAAACATTTCAGAAACACACTAATTGAAGACAGGAATGATATTTTCATACATGCATAAGTATTAAACTATAAAACCACAATTATAAAGCTATATATCCACAATATCACAACTATTTGTCCACAAACATTTCAGAAAACACACTAATTGAAGACAGGAATGATATTTTCATACATGCATAAGTATTAAACTATAAAACCACAATTATAAAGCTATATATCCACAATATCACAACTATTTGTCCACAAACATTTCAGAAAACACACTAATTGAAGACAGGAATGATATTTTCATACATGCATAAGTATTAAACTATAAAACCACAATTATAAAGTTATATATCCACAATATCACAATTATTTGTCCACAAACATTTCAGAAACACACTAATTGAAGACAGGAATGATATTTTCGAACATGCATAAGTATTAAACTATAAAACCACAAGTATAAAGCTATATATCCACAATATCACAACTATTTGTCCACAAACATTTCAGAAACACAATAATTGAAGAGAGGAATGATATTTTCAGACATGCATAAGTATTAAACTATAAAACCACAAGTATAAAGCTATATATCCACAATATCACAACTATTTGTCCACAAACATTTCAGAAAACACCAAAAAACAATCAAACAAACAGAAAAAAAACAGAGTATTGATCTGTTTGAGAAAAATGCAAAATCGTGTTGCAAAACCCTAGTCAAAAATAACAAGAATATACAGCGAATATGAATGTTAACAGTCAAAAAACACAAAAATACATTATACCTGATGGAGAATGCGATGATAAAAGGCGACAATGCTAGAATGAAAATGGCGAAAATGGCGACAATGGTGAACAAAACACGCTCCGGCGACAATGAGATGAAGACGGCGAAAATCGCGACTCCGAGTAGACAGAGAGAGAGATGAAGACTGCTACAGTGCGAAGGAAGTGTGTAGCTTGTTGGAGACGAAACGTTGGAAATGGCGGAAAAAGGAGTGTAGTGGCGTTTTATGGCAATAATAATAATATATTTTTTTTTAAATATCGGGATGAGTGAAACGGTGCCACTAACGGCACCGTTACTTCCCTGGCACTATACGGTGCCGTTTTCAACCGTGTGTACCAAGAACGGTACACACGGTTGCACGGCATAACAATTGCAAATGTTGGAGGACCATCTCGAATAGTTATGCTGTGCATCCGTATGATGCAAAAACGACGTCATTTTATTAAAAGAGCGTGTCTCCTCTTAAAATAAAAAGAGTTAATATCCAAAATGGTTCCTCGACTATGCAATAATTATCAATTTGGTCCTCAACTACCATTCTTACTCAATTAAGTCCTCAACTATGTAACTTTTACTCAATTAAGTCCTCAACTATACAATTCTTACCCAATTTAGTCCTCAACTATACAATTCTTACCCAATTTAGTCTTTTGTATTAATTTGATTGTTTGTTGACTGTCAAAAGTCGGGATAAAATTATAATTTTACAAGATTTCTCCTTCCTCTCCATTTAGCAGCGCCAAACCATGCAGCAATACACTCCGATCAGATTTTGATCGTCAAAAAATCGTTGGAAATCAAATTCATGGGCTATCTGATGCATAACCACTACTTCGATACTGACAGGTTTAGAACCCAACCGGAGCTTATTGCTACATGGTTTGGCACTGCTAAATGAGGAGGAAGGAGAAAACTTGTAAAATTACAACTTTATTTCTACTTTTGACAGTCAACAAACAGTCAAATTGACAAAGGACTAAATTGGGTAAAAATTGTATAGTTGAGGACTTAATTGGGTAAGAATGATAGTCGAGGACCAAATTGGTAATTACGACATAGTCGATGGACTATTTTGGGTTTCAGGTTTGATTCCCAGCAACAACATTATGTTGTTCATTCATTCTGGAATTTTAGTTCATAGATTATGGAATTATAGTTCATCGATTCTGGAATTGTAGTTCATCGATTCTGAAATTTTAGTTCATAGATTCTGGAATTTTAGTTCATTCATTCTGAAATTTTTAGTTTATAGATTAGATTCTGGAATTATAGTTCATCGATTCTGGAATTTTAGTTCATATGTTGTTGTTGGGAATCGAACCTGAATTTTTTTTAAGGGGAGACGCGCGTTTTTAATAAAACAACGTCGTTTTTGCATCCGTATGCACCATGCATGGTGCATACGGATGCACAGCATAATTTGCCGACCATCTCTTGGCAAATTATTGTGTGGACCATGGTCCATACAATGTTATATTGACCATAACAAAAAGTAAATTTTTAATAGAGTAAATACTCAAAATGGTCCCTCGACTATAGCTAAATTCATAAATTGGTCCTCGACTTTCAATTTCAACCAATTAAGTCCTTAACTTTGTAATTTTAACACGATTTGGTCCTCCATCTATTTGACCGTTTGTTGACCGTGATCGACGATCTCCAGAAGAACCTTCAGCTCTCGTCGGAGCATGTGGAGGCCTCCAGGATGACGTTGCACTGGTTCGAAAACACGTCGTCTTCTTTGCTCTGGTACAAACTCAACTACATTGAATCCAAAGGGAGGACGAAGAAAGGCGATCGGATTTGGTAGATTGCTTTCGGCAATGGATTCAGATGTAACAGTGCGGTCTGGAAATGCAAGTAGAACCTTAAAAAATCGACGATGGACCATGAAATTACATATATATCCTCAAAAATCACAGTCAACAAACGGTCAAATAGACAGTGGACCAAATTGTGTTAAAATTACAAAGTTAAGGACTTAATTGGTTGAAATTGAAAGTCGATGACCAATTTGTGAATTTAACTATAGTCGAAGGACCATTTTGGGTATTTACTATTTTTAATATACTAAATGTACATTATTTTTGTACTGGATTTACATTATACAATATAATGTACACTCAGAACAAAAATAATGTGCATCCCCTGAATACAATGTACATTATTTTTGTACTGAATGTACATTACTTTTATACTGAATGTACATTATTTTACAGTAAACAAAATATGGTCAACATAATAATGATTGGCAAATTATTATGTGGACTTAAGTCCACCTTGCAAGGTGGATTCGGTCAAAATGTTTACAATTTAGTGATTTACATATTAAATATTCACAATTTATCTTTTTAAAATTTACAATTCGTACACTACGAACTCACAATGTTAACATATATGTAATTGATTACTTTGTTTTGTATTCACAAGTTCATTTCAAATATTACAGTCACAGAATATTAATAGATCATGTATTGCATTCACTATATAGGCTCCGACTCTCATGAGAACCATGCCTCACTGAGAACATGTGAACAAATTCAACCATTGATCTAGTAGATTTAACGGTTGAAAATAATTTAAAAAATGAAACAAATGATATGATCATTTTCATAAATATCACAAATTTCAACATTTTGTAATATTTATGAAATGACTCCACTCTTCTCTTTTTTTTTTTTTTTTTTTTTTTTTTTTTTTTCCACAGCGTCGTGTAGACCATGATCGTCAAATGAAACTGTAATATAATTAAAATGATACTTTAGTGTTGTTATAATAAAATTAGTGTGTGTGTGAGTGAAAAATGAAACTAAAAACAGAATTTATTTAGTAACGTATATTGTCAAATGAAACTATAGTATAAATAAAATGATAATTTAGCATTGCTATAATAAAAACTAGTATGTGTAAAAAATGAATATAAAATACAGAGCCATACAATAGCATATTTTGTCAAATAAATTTAAAGTGTAATTAAATAATACTTCAACATTAGTATAAGACTTTAATTTCCATCAAAAATGAGTTTTTCACCCTTGCAAAATCCTATGTATGGTACATCCATGAACAAAAGAAAAATATGATCTCACCCTACTCAGTTGCTTCAAAGTGAATGGTAGTTATGTTAAGTAATTGATGTTCTCCATTTCAGAACTAAAAAAATTCACAATTCGTTATTGAGATTTTTGTATTTTTAAATCTTGTGTTATTTTCGTTAAGGACCTTGTGGCCTAGTAACATCAAGTTACTCTTCAATATGAGAGGTTGTGCATTTGAGTCTCAATGGATGCGGTATTGACTCTTTGTGTTAGCAGTATTAAAAAAAATCTTGTGTTATTTTCGATATTGTTGTAAGACTCCTAATTGAAACACCCATCCGTGTTGAGTTTTACCTAATCTTTACAAAACTAATATTCTTCCAAAAGGCTGAACCCCAACCCTAAGGGCCCCCCACGCCCCGGCCCGACAGAGCATTTGGGAGGATGTAAATCATGGTGACTCAACTGAACATGAAACACAGAGGCTAGACCGGTGCTCACTGCGCACAAGAAACCCCCCTCAAATTGAGAGATTGCTCACACACTGTCGCTGGTGAGACTCGATCCCTGGTCATTCTTCCAAAGTTTCCTTAATCCTATACAAAACTAATATTGAATAATTAAAAGAGTAAATTTACAAATCAATATTATTAAAAAAAAAAAAAAAGTAATTTCTTTGTACCCAAGTTAAAATGATAAAAGAATTGGCTACGAGCACCCAACAAGTCAAATCTATCTCAACTATGAATTGATGAAGCACTTACCTAAACCCCCCACATGGTTTATATCATCATCACTTTTGTTGAATAAATCCATCCATTATTGAAACCGCCTTGGCGCCTTATTATAATCTGTTGAGTTTTGGCACTACTCAACATTATTTTTCCATGATGGCAGCATTACACCTTATTCTTTCCCATGATGTTTTCTAGTTGATAATCATTAAATTTAAACTTGATGTCGGCACACAACTACTCCACTTTTAGATAAACTTGTTTTGAATGAGTAGTAACGGGTTCAACATTTATGTGAGAAGATAAACTTGTTTTCAATGTATTTATTACAACGTACCTATAATAAGCATTTATGCTTCTTCATACACCATTCAATATTATCATCTTATTAATTTAGATTCAATTTGAAAAGTTACAATTGCAACTTGCAGAGCTTAACTTTTACATAGGTAAAAAGTTGATCCATAATTCTTTAACATGATGTACTTATTAGTTATTACAAAAGTTTAACTTTTGACGTTACAATTTTTTAAAACATATTTGGATATAAGTATATACAAAGGTTTGAAATTATTTGTTGAAGAGATAATGCCACTTTTGATTTACGATTATAGATCGAGGCATTTCCAATTTTGATTCTTAACCATCAATTTGGTCACTTTTGACCCTTTGACTTTATAAAATTGACCACATTTGATATTGAAAAAATGTTTGAAATTAGGAATGGCAATTTCAATACGTCCCGCGGATATTCGTCCCACATGGATCGGTTTTTTTTTTTTTTTTTTTTTTTTTTTTTTTTTTTTTTTTTTTTTTTTTTTTTTTTTTTATGATGGTGGGTGGTGGGTCGATGTGGGTCTTTAAAAAGTAAACCTGCGGTGGGTCAAATTGGATTCGGGTTCTATGTACAAAACCCGTCTAGAACCCCACCCGTCCCACCATGTGTGTGTGTGTGTGTGTGTGTGTGTATATATATATATATATATATATATATATATATATATATATATATATAATAGTAAAATAAGTACTAGTATGTAGTTACTTATAAAAGTTTATATAACTTCGTGTATCTTTTTACTATTTTTATATCTAAACTACTAAGGTTATTTTTAAAAATTAACAATTTAGTTATTATATTTAAATATTTCTATTATTTTATGTTTTATTATCACTAATGAATTTTATTATTTTATTATGTGTAAGTAATTTAAATATTATTTTTTTGAAAAAAATAATAAGATGATAAG